ACAATTTTAAATTTAAATAGGAAGAAAAGTTAGGAATTGCCTTCATCTTCTTTTTTCTTTTCTTCTGACCTATAAGAATCTAAAAAGTGTGGCATTGTTCCCTTGTTCCCTATCTGCAACTCACAATAGGAAATTTGTAATTTTTATGTTTTGTGTTTTTGGCTAATCTCCAATAAAAGAATCACAAGTATCTGATGTTTATACTGAAACAGGATTTCACTAAATGAACCTATTTTAAGGTTAATTACCGTTCCAGCATGCAGAAAGTAATTAGGTGAAACTGAAAGTAACCTTATTTATTAAGTCATTCCAAGGATTTGCTGCAGCTTTTAAAGAATGACAGCAGGTCTGACTCTAATGTGAGTGCTGGTGTGGTTCATATGGATGATGACTTACATAAGCAACAACGTGCGGCAGTTCTCACTATGATCCTTGGAAGTGAGCTGCACTCCTAACGCATGATAGATCAAGTGGGTGGCAATGAAATTGAGCATAGATGTTGAAATACTTCACTCCATGGTCTCAGCATGTTTGTTTGAGTGTTTGCAGAAGAGCGGAAGACTGAATGTTTGAAAAAAGAAAAAAAATAAAGAAAGAAGTGGGGGGTGGAGGGTCTGGGTTGGGCTCTCTTTCTCGCGTCTCTCTCCAGCCTAGAAGTGGAGTGTCTTTGCCCCCCTTGCCTCTCTCTTCGAGCTGCTGGCCCTCGGTCAGGTAACGAAACAGGATAGTATCACAGGACGGTGAAACCCAAAGTATGCCTGCCTGCCTCCATATGTCCGTTCACGTGAATATGTGTCTGCGAGGCTCTCACCCGTACCTGTCATATATCCTAAACCTTATCTTCTTTGTTCTCAGTGTGTTTGCTTGTGTGTTGCACCCACCCCTCCCTGTGCCCACCACCCCCTTTTTCAAACACACCCTTGAGTCCACTCCCAACAGCCTCTTGTCAGACACACCCCAAACATCCTCCCAAACCCATATATATTTATATATATGGTCCATATTTCAAGAGTTGTTGCTATGCCAACAGCCCACTTTCTGTGTCTTCGCTGTGGCAGAATCTGATCTGAACCCACTCTGCCTCCCACTGGACACTATAGACTACTGCAGGCTTTACAGAGCCACATCTACCATAGCAGCCCCCTGAAGGGTTGGATGACAAAGAAAGCATTGGCACCAAAATTATATCAGTCGCTGTTCTGCCATCTGCCAAAATTAATATTGCTTTCTTGGAAATATAAAAGAAATTGGAATCAGATCTTATTTTGATGCAGAGTGCAATCTGGAAAAGGAAACTTGGTTCCTCCAGCAGAGCTGCAGCCCCAGCCACTTTGTTTCAACAGCCTGGAGGCAGAGAGCTCAGGACCACCTTTAGCTGCTCTGGCTCTTACCTGAGAATGCACTGAACTCCTGAATGAAGCATGAGAGAGAATTAATAATTGAAGACGTTCAGTCTCCCATCGATACTTGGGAGTCAGAGGAGGCGGGAGGTGCACTGCTTTACTTCAATCCCTGCCGGTCTCTCTTTGCTGTAGAGTAGATTGTCATATCTTCCCCCAGCATCTCCCTCTCGTCTCTCACTTTAGCTTAGATGTAGTGCAAGAAAGTGAAACAAACAAACAAACAAAACACCCCTTGGCAACAAATCCACAATACAGTGGATTTCAAGTGTGCACAGTCTTTTTAAATTCACAGGTGTTGTGATGTGAGCAGTTAAACCAAACCTTTTCCAACTTGTATTTACATCCTGAACTGTTCAACTGAAGGCTGGTTGTAGCACTCTGCACTTCTTTAAAATAATGCTTAATTGAAATACTTTATGATTCAATTTCATAATTTAATCTTCTTGCATTGATACCCGCCATCAATTGTAGTGACTCTGATTAACCAGGAATAAGGTTCTCCTGACACATCAGATTGTTTTTATGTTTTCATCTGCTGTTGAAAATCATAATTTAGAGACAAAACTAAGCAACAGAAACCAAATGTTATTCTCTAAGCTCAATTTAGAGGGACTTAGAACAATAAAAAATTTGCAGTCAACAAGTTCATGTTGTAATAGTTGTAAAGCCTTTTTAAACTCCAGCTTAGCATGTGGGAAAATCTCTAACTCTGAAAGGAGGAAAAATGACATCAGGGTGCAATCCATCCCAGTGGGTTCCTTGTCTTTTAAATTCTCCATAACCTTGAATCTGCCACTGCTCAGTAGAATGAACAATTTGTAGCGGAAGAATTCAGTCTTACTTTTGTCCTGGCAGTGTGATCCAGCATCCCACTGCCTTTTGCTGAGCATCCTTTGAGTTGGCCTTGAGCATCGCTTCAGAGCGTCTGATGGGGATTTCATCCAGAAACGTCCAAGCCTGAGTAAAATCTCCCAAATGCTAGTTTAGATACAGACTAACTAAACTAAAGTTGAAATTTTAAGACATGTTAGACATTCGATGGAAATAGCTGATTTTGCAATCTATTTTAAATAAGAGTTATAATCCACAGCCTTCAGTTGTCTGCTAGAATGCTGAAGGTGATAACACTTCTCGGTGAATCCATACTTCTAGCTCAAATTAGGAATGACTTCAAGGGAGATAAATGAAAGTTTTTGAAATGGCCTCACTGGAATCAAAAAGTAAATTTGGTAGAAAATCTGTGGGATCACACAGGTAAGGTTGTAGACTGTCAGCACCCCCACAATCTGATAGATTTGGAGAACCTTATTTTGACAAAGTCACGACATGCTAATCAACACATAGCAAAGCACACTGACTGAAATTAAATCAAAAGGAGCCTGAAAATGTGAAGAGTGCAGTTATTCAATCATGTTATACCTTTTTTATTCCTTCTATCAGTTTTTTTGTTGTTGCTTTTCAGTTGAATAGCACAGAATAAATGTCACACTAAATGTGGAAAAGGTTGCTTTAACTGGGGCGTGTACATTTTAGAGCTTTTGCTACTAAACCCAATCGCTGAAGAACAACCTCTGTCCTTGAAATTGTAATTTTCCTCCCTTATTTTCCCCCCCTGCCAATTTTTTTGATTTTCTTTGCTGGTTGAAGTGTTTGCTTGTCTTGTTTGCTTGCCTTTTCTGTCTGTCTATTTGTCAGTATACTTTCCTTCAGTCAGTTCTGTCTTTGTCCTTTGCAAAAATGCACACATTATTGCATTCAACATCGATTCTCATCCAAATTTGGAGTTTTTTGGCGCAACCAACAAAGAGCGCGCTCTTCCTCTCAGCAAAAAGCTCGATAGAGAATGCTGGCCAGACAGACAGACGTTTTATGGGCTCCTTGTTTTATGGCCTGTCCAGGGCATTGCCTTCACTCGCTCTGAGTGACAACTACTTGCATATATTTAATATGCACATGTAGCCAATGCCGGTTTGTGCTTTGGCCCCGTGTTCCCACTCCACACTTTTAGAGTGTTGCTAAAATGCTGGAAAATCAGGCTAGTTTAAAAACAACTTGTATCATCTGCTGAATTTTTAATGTCCTCTTTTGTAACACTCTAAATGTGCTCTTCCTATGTTCTTATTATTTGTCCCCTTTCATGGTTTTAGTGAAGTTATAGTTTTGAATGGTATATCACCTTATTTCTCTTTCTATATCTTATTTCTAAGTTATTTTAAACTCTCCGCATCAAAAAACGATATTTCTTGTTCGCTTTATCCTGATAATCAATTGTATTTATTGTCTTTTTCTTTTTTCTTTGTGCTCTCTCTCTCCTTTTAGCATGTTTGTTCCTTTGTCTTCTCTTAAATATATTGTCTGTAGCTCTGTGTTTCATTTTAATTTTTTGTCTTTTATTCTTTGATTCTTATCAGACTGACAAAACTAAGCCTATCTTGTGTTTGCAGGCTTTCCTTCCTTCATTCCCTATCTTTTCTTGCAGCTCTGTTTTTCTCTCTAACGTGCTGGTGTTTGTTATGATCTCACTCTCTTTGGTTTTTGTTTTCATACTGTTCATGCTGGTAATACTTGCTATCTCTTCTAAAACAGATTTCTAAAAATCAGCTTGCTTGTGTATTTCTCTCCTTATTTTTGGTCTTCTTTTCTGTCGAAAGTCTTTATTATTTGTGTCTCTTTGTAATTTGTGAATCTTATATCTGTCTGCTAATTTTTTCTCTTTCTCCATGTTTCTGTCCTCGCTTGTTTGTCACTTAACTGTTTTTCAGTGTTCAACCCCTTCATGTGCCTTGACTAGTCATTTAGGTGTCCATCAATAAGATCCTTTGTATTTTCCTCTATTCATTTCTGTCCTCTCTCATGCTTTTTTGACTTATTTTTCTAAGTCAATTTTTTCTTTGTAATTTCTATTTTCATGATTTATAAACTTAGAGGTTTTGTTTCTCCAAGCGTGTGTGGAAGGGAACTAAATGTAACATCTATTAACATTTGTACCTCAGTGCCAGCCATGCCAGTGAAGATCTCATGTCTCTTCTTTTTTTATTTCCGTAAAATCAACTGTTTGTCGATGCAACTGAGAGATTTAAACATGCAATGTCTGTCCTCTATATGTTGCTATATGTGTTTGTCTGCGGTTTTTATATATCTGTATTTCTGTCATTATACGTGTGTGTCATAAACTCTCAAAGGATTTGGGAAAATAATTTGGTTTCTGTTATTTTAAGTTAATTGATTTTGTGTTTTTTGTCTAAAAATGTGTTTATTATTTTACTAGTGGAGGTAACGTTCTTTTTGAAGATGTACTTACATTTCTTATGAGTTACACCTCTCAGGTCTTGTGCCCATCATTAATCTGTGGAATACCTGGCAGATTTTATTTGGCTTTTGTTAGCAATAGCTGTTAAAAAACAAACCCTGTTTCACTGTGAAGTGACATCAATCCGTAGTGAAACTGGGACTGAACGATCATTTCAGAGAGGCAGTTTGCTGCTAAACAGGTGGAGGCTGGACTCCCTGTGGGCTCAAACGCTTTCTGTAGACGAGTAAACTGCTCATTAATGTTTGAGCTCTTTTACGTTTGTCAACCTGATTTTTTGTTTGCAGGGGCAACAAGCCAGCAAACAGCCCCAAGGGTCACCCTCCTGATGCTGATGGGCACTCTTCTGTAACTGACCTGGCCAACTCGCTCACTGGAGACATGGTGATGGTAAGTTGACCTTGTCCACCTGACATCCTCCCTCACTTCCTTCCTTCCCTCCTGCTTTACGTCTTGGTTTTCCATTCAAAATATGCAGCTAAAAGCAATTTCTGTGAACCAGCCATATGTGATTACTTATTATTACTACTACTGCTTAAACAGGGGGTGAGTATTATTTGATATAAAGCTTTTTTGAGCTTTGTATGATCTAATTACATTTTTCCCTCATCAAAAAATTATCCTGGAGTGTTGCTTTGATTCTTTCATCCATGTTTGAGAAATCCTAGACTCTCACATGACAAACATTCAGCGGTGTCTGAATTCCTGCTCTACAAAGTACTGCCCATTTCCACAAACATTTGCCACAAAGCTGCAAACTCCTCCAGACTAGTGGCAGCAGAAACTTGCAAACTCCTGGTGTAACTGTGAACGACATCATGACTGTTATTTCTGGCTAGTGGTTAGATTGAATGAGGAAAAAATGTATTGCAGAAATGCTTAACACAAAAACAGGAGGAAATGCTAAACACAAAAAGAGGTACAAATCATGGGTTTGATGGTACAACAAAGAGGCTACAGTCCTCGGTTCGATTCCTGGTCCTGGACCATTTGCTGCTTGTCTGCTTGTCTTGTTGTAGAAAGGCCACCAGTGCCACAAAAACCTTTAAAAAACAAATAAGCTCTAGTGTTGGGCAGTAAATAACCTTTAGTGTTATTAAGTTCTGAGTCATGCTGTTTTCAAATTAATCACTGGTGTCTCAAATACGCAGTGACTTGTGTACACTGCTAAATAAATGTTTTGCAAATGTTTTAGGGTTTTTACATTTTATATATTTTTTACAGCAACATTAGGACATTAGTCCTAAATGACCTTTACTCTAAGGTCAGAGGATGAGTCAGGAAAACATAGTTTTGTCAAACTATCGTTCTGGAAGATGATTTTGATAATGGTTAAAAGGCTAAATTGTAGTGTTTGTATGATTTATACAGTACATATAGGCAATATTGAAATTTTATTGCTAATTTGTAGTTACTTCCAAACAAATGATTTTAGAAATTCAACAATACATAGCCTGTTAGCTGTAGTTTAAGCAAATGGGCAGGAAGAAAAGATAGCTTTGTTGGAATCTGTAAGCCAAACCTTTGGAAATTCTGATAAGATATTATTTGATTTGTTCTAAGACATGGAAAGCATTTCAGCTAAGTTACATTTGTCAAGATGAATAAATAAAATTACATTGTTCTGAGGTAATTCTTGCCACCAGCAGGAGTTGTGCTGCAAAGTCATTGTAAGTTTATAAGGCAGGTTGATCTAAAGCTGCGGATGGTAATGAGCGAGTCATAATAGAAAAAAAAATAAAAATAACACACCAGCCGTTCCCACAGTGGCAATCAAGCAAGCCAAGTCATCCAAGGTGACTCATACTGTTTGACAAATTAGAGTTGAAATTCTCCCTCTTTCTGAAACCCGTATTGATGAATCAGAAGTGAGCCTTTGTCATTTTAGTTTTGGATGAAAGCTTTTTTGAAAAGTATTATTTCAGGTAATTCTCTGAGAAACACTTTGCATGCCAAACAGCACCTGAGTTCTTTCACAAAAAGGTTTAGTGCATGCTTCTTATCTCCGCATAACTTATGTAAACTTGTATTGCAATTGTTTTTTATTTGGGAAGGGAAAAAAAAACAAGTAGACAACAACGGTGGGACTAATATGTACAGTTGGGAATGTTTCACGTGCAGAAAGCTGACATTAGTCCATGTTTTACGTCTCACTGAAAGCTTTTTTCCTCCTCTTTCTGTTTCTCTCTTGCCCTCTCTCTTTCCCTCTCGCTGGCTTTTATCAGATATCTGCCTTTTAGTGCAGAGCAATGATAAAGCAGTCAGAGTGGCTGTGAGAGAGCGCGAGTAGTCTAAAGCTCCATATCTTCAATCTGAGCACCTCCTGCCTCTTAAGAACATTAGTAAGGAAATTAAACTCTCAGAGTCTTCTTAACATCGCACCAATCTCTGTCTCTGAGCAGCTGCTCGAGCATGCCATGATCAAAATGTGACTCTGAATTTGTTCCCCCTCACAGCTATTCTCTGTCGAGGTCTGGGTGATGCAGAAAGTCAGTGCCTTTAGGTCTGACTTGTACCTTGTGTGGCTCTTACTGGACACGTGACGGTTTACATTCACTGCTTTGTCTTTTGTGGCCTTGCAGTTGTCCCCAGGTTCAGAGGACGATGACGGTGAAGGGCCCGTCAGCGAAAAACTTGGTCGTATCCAGTTCAGCATAGGCTACAGCTTCCAGAATACGACCCTTACTGTCAAAGTTCTGAAGGGTCAGGACCTGCCAGCCAAGGATTTCTCCGGCACCTCGGACCCTTTTGTCAAAATCTACCTGCTGCCTGACAAGAAGCACAAGCTGGAAACCAAGGTCAAGAGGAAGAACCTCAACCCCCACTGGAATGAAACCTTCCTCTTTGAGGGTTTGTCATATTTCCAAGTTTTAAAGACCTGAAATGTAATGTTAATCCCAACGGATTCTATCATTTTCTCTGGGTTTAAATGTGAATCTTAAAGGGGAAGTATTGCATAAAATTCACATTTTGCATGTTTTTAGGGTCTCAATTGCACAAAAATAAATATTTAAAATATAAGTAAAAACTGATAATTTTAAAAAAAGTCAATTTAATAAGAATATGCCAAATAAGGTAAAGTTAATGCATACATTTTCATCATCTTTCCAGTTAGAAGATGCAGTGACACTTTATTTGGAGGAGTGTGCGTAAGACTGATGTGACAGTCATAAATATGATATAACACCAGATTCATTTCTTCTTAATGAATCTTTCACTGTTGTCATGAAGTATCATTTAGTAAATAATGATGCAAAGTTGTACTAAAACTTGTATTAAAAGTCCAATAAAGTGTTAATTTTGCATTTAAAGTGTCATTATTTACAGAATGACACTTTAAGACAACATTCTTAAACATTCTTGAAGACTTTTTCCACGTTCATGACAGGTATTCTCTCATGCTTATGACATTATGATGTCACTCTTATGCACACCACTTCAAATAAAATCTTATAGAAGATGCACTTTTGGTTATAATTAGTACTGTAACTATGTGAATATGTCTCTATCAAGTTATAATTTCTTTTCATTCTTGCAGCTCAAACTCTGTCAGGTTGTTAGACAGCTCTATTCATGTTTACTAACAAATTCCTGACTAGACTGATATCTGGGCTTTGACTTGGCCACTCCTCAACATTGACTTTGCTTTTTTTGAAAGATATTTCTGTGAAGTTTTGCATCATACTTGAAGTCACTTTTCTAGTTTGGTTATAAACTCAGATCACATGAACTTACGATTTTTCTGGAATTATCTCTTGTGCCTTCAGCTGGATTCCTGACTCGATTTGTACGCTCTTTAGAAATGTTTTTTTTTTTTTCTTATTTGAAATTCTTTGACATTCTGCCATGCAGTTTTGATTTGTAAGAAACCATGAAAAACATTTCTTAAAGCACACTCTCTTCTCTCTGAGCACTGGAACCTTTAACTCCCTCAGATTAGACGTAGATGTCTCTATGGCTTCCCGAACCAGTCTTATATTCTCGGTCGCTCACTTTGTAAGGACAGCCAGCTCTAAAAAGATGTAGACAAGTCCCAAACTTCTTCCATTTTTTAAAAGATGAATTTAACTGAACTCTTTGGTATGTACATTGAGTTAGAAATGATTGTGATTTCTTCAGAGTTATAATTTCCCATTAAATAGCTATGCAAGTTTGTTTAAAAAGTAATAAGGTTTACTAATCGTTTTGACTTTGAGAGCAGTTAAATATTTGATTTTGGAGATTATACAAGCATAATAAAATGCTTGTATATGCTTGTCTAATCACTCTTCTGTGATTAGACTGAGTCACTGTTGAAATATAAAAAAATATATTCATCTTAATTTTGAGTAATTTTATACCCTACGTTGAGTTTTTATTAGATTTTTTTCCTCAGTTTTCTGCTCTTTTATCTCAGGTAATTTCATCTGCAACATTTTATTTCAGAGACAGTTTTCTACCTGATTAAACCATCAAAGACCTTAAAATTACAAAGATAAATGAAGTTCTCTTGTGGAATAAGTGGGTTGTTTGAGGATAGAGTTTTGAAATGAACAGTTTTTGCTGTTAATACTGATTTTTCTTTCTTTAATGTTTGTGTATTGGGGGAAAATGGCAGAAACAAATAAATACTTTACTCTAACCTCTGTATCAAACAACAACAAAACTGACAATAAATTCATGTTTACAGAAAACGTTATAAAAAAAGCTAATCAATTTTAGTTGTTTTATAAACTGGATAGTTATTGTTCGACAGGAACTTTTTGTTTGAACATGTCACTGTTGTATTAAAAATTTACTTTTTATTTTTCTTACAATATAAGCAATAGCAACCTCAATCATGTATATTTTAAACTCAATGTATAACTAAGAAGCTGGCATTGTGAATAGAAATGTAAATATTGTGTTCATTTTCCATCTGTCAGACACCGCAGTTTTCAGACCATGAACATTGCAAAGGTTTCTTTGCTTTTTTTATCAAGCAATACAGAGATAAAGCTCTTTTGCAGCAAGCTTGGCAGATTCCACAAAGACCTGTTTCTCCATTGAAAAGGAGCTTTGTGTTAGTTGTGTGAAAACTCAATAGCAAAGTGTGAAATTAGAGCAAGTTTTTATTGATTAGACCTCCAGCCTAGAAACAGCAGACCAATATTCTGTCTTGCTGTAATAATAATCATCATCTTGTAAGCTGCCGAGGCTGTTTGTCATCGGCAAAGACAAAAGTGCTTTTTTCTTCTGGTGAGGAACATGTTTTTTATGAAAATAGGGCGGAATATTCTCAAAGCTTTTCCAAATCCACAGCCCATTAAGCTTGTATGCGATTAGTTTTGTGACAGGAGTACAGCTTTTGCTCCACACATTGGCATTTTTGTCATATCCTTCCCTGGAAGCATGTTGCACATTTCTGTTCCCTCTGTACTGTCAGGGACATGCCTTTCACAATCTGCCACTTACCTGTGCCTCTGCGCCCACAGTGTCATCTGCTTCCTGTGTCTGCTTTAGGCTTCCCTTACGAGAAGGTGAGAGAGCGCACTCTCTACCTCCAGGTGTTGGACTACGACCGCTTCAGCAGGAACGACCCCATCGGAGAGGTGTCAATCCCCCTAAACAAGGTGGAACTGGGCCAGCTGAAGACCTTCTGGAAGGAGCTTAAGCCCTGCAGTGATGGCAGTGTAAGAGGGCCGTTAGACAGAACCACGGCTGATGCTCACTTTTAATCCCAGTGTAATTTGCTAAAGCAAGTGTGACACGTTTGGTCGCAGCCTTCATCATGTTTGATGTGATTTTTGGGTGAGCAATGATCATAACTAAGCCAGCCCGGTCACTGGACCATCTGTATTTGGCACATGGAGTTAGAGCAGAAAGGGCAGTGATGTAACATTGCACAACGAGGCAGTGAGTAATCTGGAGTTTGATATCCCCTGATGAAATCTGATTTTAGACCAGATGATTCACCCTCCATTGTTTTTTTTTTTTTGTTTTTTTTGTGGGTTCGTTTTTGCAGGGGAGACGAGGCGACCTGCTGGTGTCTCTCTGCTATAATCCCACTGCCAACACCATCACTGTGAACATCATCAAAGCACGCCACCTTAAAGCCATGGATATCGGGGGAACCTCGGGTAAAGTCTTTGCTGTGCTTGTCCCGGTCTTAAATCTGTGGTTTTCAGTTTGGCGCCTTAGCCTTGACTTTCAAAGTTTTGAGGTTTTAGTTTGAATTTGTAGTGACTGACCAGTCAACACAGACGAAAGAGTACCTTGCGAATAATTTCTTTACACCTTTTTCATATTACAGTGTTAGAAGGTCTCCTCACTTTAAGTACTAATAAAATAAATCGAGCGCTTCTACAGATTTGATCAAATCAAGGAAAGTACTTTCGATGCGCACCAATGTTTTCACGTTAAGTGACTGAGGAAATCAGTGACTCAGCATCACTGAGCTGCAGCTCTTTCTGCCTTTGTAAAATTTATGTAAATTTATGGATTTTATTTGGCAAAAGTCTATAATTCCTTTCTTTACAACTTCATAATAATGCTATGCTTTGTATTGCTCTGTCATGTAAAATGCCAACAAAGTACACTGAAGGTTGTAATGTGAATACTTTGGTACTCTGGTTACTGTCCTCAGTTCATAGTCACAGCAGCAAGGTGACATTACATCAAGCATATCTGTTGACCTCTATCTTTCTGTATATCTGAGGATCTTGAACCTCCCAGCTAAATGTGCATCAGTGCACTCTGGTCTCTTCTGGTTAAAAAAGTATGTATCCAGTCCTGCTGTGACACGCTTTCTGTACAATTTTTTTTTTTTTTTTGTAAAATTAGAGTTTCCTACAGTTACTATTAGCAGATATAAAATTGCTCCAGAATTTGCTATATGAATCCCAAGCCCTATTTCCATAAATACTTCCTCATTTGTATGTTTGCTAGCTCAGGGAATAGGTTGACCTTGAACTCAATCGAGGTCTCTGCTTCCCTGCTGCCTTTCTTGTCTATAACAATCAAGAGGGTAATTGCAAAGCTGATCCCAAAAGCAAAAAAAAAAAAAAACAAGAAAAAAAAAACATCCATAGGCATTTTCTTAGTTACCGTAGTGAAAACTTGTATGCACTTTCTGCAGACCCTTACGTAAAGGTGTGGCTCATGCACAAGGACAAGCGTGTTGAGAAGAAGAAGACGCCAGTGATAAAACGCTGTCTGAATCCAGTTTTCAACGAGTCCTTCCCCTTTGATGTCCCTGCCCATGTGCTGAGGGAGACTACCATCATCATCACCGTCATGGACAAGGACAGGCTTAGCCGCAACGATGTCATTGGCAAGGTAATTTATGACATAAGAATCTGCGGGGAGTCTGCAGAGATTTTTAGATCGGTGTCATGGGTTAGCTCCGTGTGTTGTAGAGTGATAGAGCCAATGGTACTTGTGGGCCAAGAAAGTAAAAACAAATTGAAATCAAACTAAGTACAATGACTTATTTTTATTTTTTCTTTCTATAGGAAAGGAATATTATTCAGCGTAGTTTCAAAACTTAAGAGATTGGGCATGTTTGCTCAAATTGACCTGTTATTAGACCAAATCTGGTCTAATAACAGGATTTGGGTCTCTTTTTTTCAAATTGCTTGCCGGATTTAGCAAAGCTTAATTGAATTCACTAAAATCTGACTTGGGTAGTGAGTTGACGTTTCAATCAAAGTCTCTGGATAGACACGGTTCTGTTCATAATAAAAACTTGGTTATAGAAAGATGAATACTTTCGGTTGTACCTTCTGCAAATCATCAATTGCTTGTGTGGAAGGGGTCAAATTTCTGCAAGCAGGGTTGCTGAATAGTGCAGAGGGAAAGTTTAAAAGAAACACCAACGTTGACCGCAAGGCCAAAGCTTCACTCTGCACATCCTGAAACTGTTTCTTCTTTAGACGAGCCACACTTACAAGCTCAGTTGATGTTAAAATTACCTTAAGTCACTAGATGGGGCCTTCTACTGCTGTTAATGGTTCAATTTGGTCTGTGTTAGGAAAATGTCACCCATTGTGAACCTGAACAAACCAGTTTTGTCATGACAACCATGCCACTTTTAAGCAATTTGAACAATTCTATTGAACACCAACCAGCTGTCTCCTCCTATGTGTATGAGTTAGCATTAATCTTGCAGATACTTAAATGAGTAAAAGCTCAACTCTCTCCTTTGTTTGAATACTGACTATTTCAACCTCGAGCTTCATTAATTTAGGCAACAATGGCATTAATAATGCAATGCTATTAGTAATACAGCCTGTGAGTGAACAGGGACAGCTATTACTGCTTCACCTCACAGTTTTTTGACGTGTTGCTGCTCTTTAGCAATAACTGATACCAAATACCATCGTTTCCCATCACAATACACTTATTGACTTGGAAGAGATGGACCATACGATGATTTTTTTATTTTTATGTCATCAGTAGTTTATAAATTTTCATGGAGTGTGCATAATGGCTTCTTTCCCCTCTCTCAGATCTACCTATCGTGGAAGAGCGGGCCAGCAGAAGTAAAGCATTGGAAGGACATGCTCGCCCGGCCGCGTACTAACGTCGCCCAGTGGCACGCTCTTAAGGCCTGATCGCACCACCCAGCTTCCTCCATGGCCACTTCCCTTCTCCTACTTCCCACCCCTCTTCCCTCTCCCCTTCTCCCGCTCCCGTCCTTATGCACAAGACTGACTTGCTGCCAGGCTGCGAAACACGGGTACAATTAGCCATCTGCTCTCTTAAACCTTTAAACTCTTCTCTATTTTCTTTTAGAATCTCAATTTCCTCTTCCACTTCTCTCTGAATTTCTCTCCCCTTGTGCTGTTGTATGTTTTTTTCTGTGTCGCCACTTTGCCAATAGTCCCCCTGTTTCTGACTGTCTGTATGTCTGTCTTTCTGTCCTTATGCAATCGGCCCATGGAAGTCTAATGATCCATTTATTTGTCGCTGCAGTCCCTGACCAGTTAAACAAGTTGGTATCTTACAGAATCATAATAATTTGAACTCATTTAATATTGTTGTATAAATAGTAGTTACACAATATAATACATTAGGCACTGTATGAACATACAAGTTGATGTCAATAAATTACAAAACCATTGTAAAGTTAATTTAGTGATTCAGCTCAAAAAGTGAAACTCACTGCATACCAAGTCAGTAAACTAGAGTATTATATATTTCCAGTCTTTATGTCTGTTAATTTTGATGACTCTGATGTATAGCTAATATGAACCCCAAATTCTGTTTCTCGTAGAAGTAGGTTTTTACATAAGACCAATGAAAAAAAGTAATACAGCATTGTGGTGCTACAATATGTACTGTATGTACCCAGTAATTGACCGGGGCCCCCAGCCTGTGGCTCTGCAGATGTGTGCGCCAGCCTTCAATTCATCCTCATTGTTGGCTCTGGTGCCTCGACAATGTTTGAGCTTCAGACCGGGAGAGTTTGCACTTTTGCCATATTGTGCTGGAAAAATAAAATATGCACTTCTATAAACCTTGTCAGCAGAGTGAAACATGGGGTGCTCAAAAACCTTTTTGGTAAGCTACCCTCCTGACATTGGACTTTATAAAATACAATAGAACAACCTCAACCAGCTTGAAATCCGTGCCTCTTCCCTTTATCTCCAGACTCTGGGACCTTGATTGACCAATGAAAAATAAAATCTGCTTTTCTAATAACAAGAGGACTTTGGACAAGTCCTTTTTAAGAAGAATTTGTCAATGTCTTGCATTCAGCAGTGTCTTAACACAGGGAAGGCAGCAGTTGCAGAATATATTCTGGAAAATAACTGTGTGCTTCGACTCTTAAAACTCTGAATCCAGCCACAGTCAATCCCTTGTTATTCTCACCAAAAATCATAAATGAGTTAGAATCCTCTCAAGGCTTCACTTATCCCTGTTGCCTGTGCCAGACTTTCTGCCACCCTTTTTCCTTCCACTCAACTTTTCAATTAACAGCACACTCTTGTGGTTTGCTACCTTTGTACAGAATGTCAGCTGTTACTGCTCTGTCTGCTGCTACATTCAATTTATTTGAGAAACAGAAATTTGGGTTTTTATTAGTTGTAATTGTTAATGATGAAAATAAACAGACATAAATGCTCCAAATATATGATCTTTGTAGTGAATCTCTGTTAATTATTAATTTTATTAATTAATTAACGTTTCTGTGACGTTAGGATGCACCTGTGCCCATTTTATGAAGCTATAATTTAGCTATGTAGACTGGCAGGGTTTCATCTCTGAAACTTGTTAACTATACCTTAGCCATATTCTGTCATCTGTTTCCCTGTCCCATTAGTCTTTTCATTGACCCTACTGTTCTCGTTATTTGTCTCAAGTGTATTACATTTTTCTCTCATAACAAACCTTCTCTCCTTTACTCAAGAATGGTTTAATGTTCAGCTGAAGTCTTTGAAAGTGATCAATAATAGGTTTGTGATGTAACAAGCTGAACTCAGGATGAATTTGTTCACACTGTTGTCTCTTCTCTTTCTCCTATTTTCCTCTCTGTACTCTTTTTCCCTCTTCTCTTTCTTCTGGCACAATATTAGTGACTTACTTTGCCCCACCACTCCTCTTACAACAACCCTCTTTCTGGAGCCTTCCTTGTCGTCTGTGTGCTGTGGGTGCTGTGCTGTATCTCCAACAAAAATAGAGATTAAAAAAATAGCAACTAAACTTTCCAAAGCTGGGAAAAGAGGGGACACATACTTGTGACATGGATTCGTCCTGATTTTTCCAGAAAGAAAAAAAAAAAGACACGGAGAGAGAAAAAAGAAGATGAAATCCTAGGATGTCACTTTTCATGCATCACCAACCGACGAAACTAATTGAAATCTTCCAATGTTCACAGGAAAATCGAGGATGAAAGCAAAGTTTGTGCACATGGATTCAGCTGTGTGCACACACTTCTCTTCACCCTGTGCTCCTCTGTCATGCTGGTGGGTGTCCACCTCCAGCAGGTTGGACTGTATAGTTAGACTGCTGTGTTAATGTATGCCTTCTGCCAGCTGAGTGTGCATTTACAGGAGCAACAGTCTTTGAACTTTACAGAAATCTTCTTCTCTTTTCTCTTTCTTCTCTCGCGCTCTTCTTGCTCTTCTTACTGCCATTGTTTCCCCATCCTCTACTGCCCTGCCTTCTGAACGAGGGCACAGGGAAGTTCATTTTGCACTTTTTTGAAAATGTAATAAAAATAATAATGATGATTATAGTTTTTGACGATAATGGTGATGATTATAGCTGTGGTGAAAATCAAGGGAGGAGAATCTGGAAGGGTTGGCTGCAGTCGGGGGGAGAGGTGACGTCTGCTTGGTGTTTTCAGGGTTTGGAGTTGAAGCGGAGGACACAAAGGATGCAGGGCTCTCATCCTCTTCTTGGTCTTTTTTGTGCTTTTTTTTCTAAATTTCAGAGTACTTATGTGTGCTTGTGTGTGTATTTGGGAGGAAACTGCAGGACTCCTGGTGGGAGTCCACTGATGTTTGAAATGTCAGGCTGGGATGGAAATGCAAGGCACGTTTGCTTGTCTCACGGAGCCTGGCCAGCACAACACTGCTATTACACAATGTGTCGATTAACATCAAGCTTGTCAGAGCTCAAAGCCACAGCCTGCACATTGTTATTCTGAATGAGTCCAAGAAAGAACAGTTCATATACTTATAAGTATATATGCTGACAGGAAAAGGTAGTTCTTAACCAGGTTCTGAATTTTAGTTGCACTTCATGGGAATTATAAATGATGGACAGCGTGTGTAACATTAGATGATTGGAGTGGATTAGAGGTTATCTAATGCAGTAATAGTTGCCTAATTTTCAGAAACATTCAGCTTAGCTTCATACCTGCGGAAATAAATCTGTCATAAAGCAACAACAATAAAACTTAATTAGATGCTCATAGATACCTAGTTTCCCATTTATCCCATTTGTTTGCAGTTCACCTTTAATACACTCTTGTAAAGTTTTTGCTTAATTCTGTCCCAGGGTTTTCCTATAGTGCTCCCCAATCTTTCTACACTTCTGCACTTTATTCAGGAAGTAGCAAAAATATTTAGTTGAATTATTAGTACTGTGCTTTTCAATTATTTAGAATTTAATGACAAATGTACTCTAATGCCAATACATCTATTTAAACATATTTAAATTTCTAGTATAATATCATAGCTTTCTAAACCAAAAGTATGTATGTTCTAGAAATGACTTGTATTGAGTTATATAAACCTCACTAAAGTAAAAAAAAACTATTTAAGAAGACTCATATCACTGTATATTACTCTATAATACTCTTTTAGAGTAATATACATGTTAAAGTGTTAAGTACATAAGTTGACCAATGTTTCATTGGGGTAAAACATAAGAATACACTATGTTTCAAAGTTTTGTTCTTAAGGTCGTAGGAAAGTAAATTCAGCTTTATTTATATATCATATTTTCACACAGATGTCACAAAGTATATCATAAAAAGATTAACTTTAATAAACCTCACAGAGGTGTACAATACAGAATCCAATCATCTTGTGACAATCTATTATGAGTAAAAGAAAAACACATGTTTTTCTATTTTCTGAAGTATAAACAAATAAAATACTTTAAACTTTACATCTTAACAGGAGAAGGTAGAATATTTTGAAAGTTTTAATTCTGCTGTGATAACAATTACTAACAGCAATACCAAATAAAATATAAAGAAACATTTGTATTTAAAAACTATTGCGGTTATTTGGCTGTTAAAAAATGGTAAATCAGAAAATATACATTTTTCACTTCTGAATTCCAAGCTCAGCTGTTTTGTTTCCATATTTACAGGCTATGAGACAATTTCTATAAACCTCAAATCAACTCAGAAAACTAGGAAACCGTACGTCATAAAATGTAGGCTTAATTGCTAATACTAAGTCTGTAAGCAAATCCAAAACTAATTCTATATAAATACTATTTTTTGAAAGATGATGCTATTGCTTTAATATTGTAAAACCTTCTTTCCTGGAAGTCATCTATCTGCATATATGGATGATCTATTATTATATATTTCAGAAACTTTGAAATGTATCCACAGTATGAACAACTATTAAAGCTGACACAATTTTTATGGCGTTACTGTTCTAATTTCCTGTATCTGCTGACTGTGCTGCTATGCTAATGATAGTTCACACTTAAGAAGGGACAAATAGAGAGGGAGATGGTTCCATTGTGTATTTTTTTTTTTCCTTTGCTTCAAAAATGAAAAACAAATTTCGTCTTTATTCTTAAACTAGGGATATGTAATGCAATGTATGTTTTTGCTGTTTGAGAATATTGATAAAGTTTCATCTTCCTTTAGAGACTAGAGATTAAACAGCAGCTATAAAGAGAGAAGCATTTACTGCATGGCTTGATGCCCAAACAGTAGGAGGATCCCCTATCTGCCTTTACTTAATTACCAATGGCTTCCCACCACCCTGTGTTCAGTTTCCTAGATAACCAAGTGCTTGATTGCTTAATGGTTTAAGGCAGTCCTCTTGAATTCTGTTTACTGTTCAAGATGTAACGCAGATATCGCCCCCAGCATTAGAATATAGATTTTTTTCCCTGACGCACATCTTCTTTGTTGCCTATGTGGAAGGATGTTTGTTCGTAGCATCCAAATGTACATGTTTCTTTTTGACTGTGTCTATAGTGATGTCTCTAGATTAGTTTGCTTTGGAGATGAGCAACTGCATAAAATATATTTAGATGAGATGACAAACAAAAGCACAGCAGTCTGATCTATGAGGGTGTAAATGTTCAAGAAGCTGTAGCCCCACATTTCTTGGGCTAATAGTCATGCACCAGACTAACTGGGAAAAAAGACTGCTGGTCACCTGGGGGCCTTTTTCTGTATGATGTCCACAAACATCCATTGTTAGGCATTGGCTGTCCTTGGCGCCTGTCCAGGCTAATTCTAGCTGGGAAAAGCTCCAAAAGTTGCCAAGATAAACCTGACCAAGCTAACGGATGGGTGACAAGACTTTTACTTGCATGCATGTTAGTTATAAAACCGCTCCATGTCTCTTTTTTCTTAGCCAGAGTTATTTTTGCAGATAGTGAGCCCCCCCAGGTTCAAGGAAGCAGATATTGCTCCTTTCTGACCACCTAATGGGAGTGTAATGTGCTGTGACACTGCAGGCACTGGCTGTCAAAACAGTGAGCCCTGTTCCAGGGATGGCCAATTGTTCTGAAGGGCACTGGACTGGATCAGTGCATCACAGCAGCCAGCACCGAGGCCCACATGAAAGACGGTGCCCAGAACATACTCGGCACACCGCATGCTGTCCAGAAAAGCTTCCCGACACTCATGAGGAGGAGTAGTTATACGGCACTGGCCAGTTTACAACAGCACAGTTGTGTGCTGACACCATCTTTAGCGTGAATCAAAAGAGATAAAAAGGCAGTGCTAGCAGAAGTTGTGCTGTGTATGGACTCGCTTATTAAACAGTCTTTATGCAGTGGGTTTCAAATTAAGTGATTCAGGTCAGCATCGGTGGATAAATGTCAGAAGAATCTCAATGTAGAGAATAAAGAAGAGATTTGAGAAGGAATTAAGCTAACAACTAGTTATGTCAGTGCAAACCGCTGCTCCACCTGGCTTGTCAGGTAAAGACAGAAACTAATCAGTGTAATCAGTCCTGAAGGTGTGAAACCACTTTCTGGACCTATTAAGGCAACAGTTTCTCAGCTATCTATTTCCCTTTGATTGAGCTACATATTGTTCAGAAGGCTAAGCTTTAGAAAGTAGTCCTCAGTCACCATGCGAGCTTGGAGATACTCTGTTATTTTTATAACGAGACGGACTGTGACGTCACTCATCATTGAAAATAGACTGCTGAGAAGACTTTTGGACTTTTAGAAGGATTATCTGCTTTTTAATTCAGATGACTGAATAAAAAAAAATATTGGTCAGTGTTGACAGGTTGCATAAATAACTTAACTGGAAATTTTATAACTTTTCTTTTGACCACAAACTGATTCTTCACATTTATGACTGATGGTATCATTATAGCATACTAAAAAAATTGTTGCTTATTTTTTTAGTGATCTCAGACCTAGATATTTATAAGGATTACTTGTTCAAAACAAGATTCAGCTAAGATTCCTTTAGTGGTTAAAATAGAAGAATCATTGATGCTCTCAGTTGTGACTAAATGTTTGACCTTACTGGTGGGGGAAAATGCTGCGCGTTTGCTATAAGGCCTGTTCCCTCCTGGTATATTTTGTTTGACAACATAGTGTAAATCCATCAGAAAGCTTCTATCTTTAAAATAATAAGAATCCCGACATTTATCTTTGTTTTCTGCTATCAGCTCAACCACCAAAACACTAAAATGGATGGAAAGTTTAAATCTAAACATATGGAGACATTAGTTCCCAAATACCACTTTTTAATTGCACTGCCACCTCTCTCACACCTTTAAATGTGTTGCTCTTTCTCGGCACCAACAATGTCAGCAGTGACCTTCAGCAAGCCAGGGATCATGAATACACCAAGAGAGGATTACAGATGTTCCCAGTCAAGACTTTTCCCCCCTCAGACACATTGGAGTGTTTGTTCAGCCTCAGTTCTGTCTCTCATCATTATATTCAATTCCTGGCAGAATCAATGACCGGGTGCTGGTGTGGGCCCGAGTGAAAAAAGTTTAATTCTGTCCACAACTTCACTGCATATTACTGTAAGTTTATCTCCTTTTTCTGCAATAAGTAGATTTGTTTGTATCTAAAACAATTCTCAGACATAAATTGTCACCTGTAGTCACGGTGTATAAAAGCTTTAAAATAGATTAATCTTTTACTTCTCTGGTTGACAAATATTGAAAAATCTAACATTTAATTTTAAAATATTTGCAAAGTGTAAAAAATAAGCTTTATTTTTAAAATCTATTTGTTTTATGTCCTCTCTTTTAAACTACATAACCTCTCTTGATGTGGTTCACGACTTAGGCTCGGGGACTGGAATGACGATGGTAGAAATCATTTTTGTATTTTAAGTCATTATTATATCATAAACCCAAATTAGAACCCATTTCCAGATTTCTGGCAGAACCCACCAAACTTAGTTCTTAAATGTTCTGGTATTTCAAGCAGTTCCAAGTGGGATTTTGAAGACAAACAGGCCACCGCCATCACAAATCTGCCATACTTAACAGTGGGCCTGAGGCACGTTGCCTCACATTCATCTTTTGTTTCATGACAGGTCAACCTGGACTGTTTGTTGCAGAAAAATCCTGCTCTCTATTTTAAATTTGGCACAGACAATCATAGTTCCCCAAAGATTATCCTAACAGACATATTTATGGCTTTCTTAAAATTAAATAAATTCATGTTAGCTGAGTTGAATTTTAGTTATTCTTTTAACACTAGACTTTGTGCACTAGAGTATAAAACTTACCGCTAAAGTTCAATATCTTGACAACTTATTTTGTACATTTCCATGCATTTTTAAAAATTGATTTACATTTACTAAAGTTATATAATTAGCTTAATTCTCTCACAACTGGAGAGGTCCTACCTGCTCCTTTTGTTCCCTTGAGATTTATGATGATGTTTGTCCTTGTCTCATTCCTCCTTCCCTTAATATTCCATCGTAGTTTTCCTTGATGGATTTCTTAAGTTAAGCATCAGTGACTCACTCTATTGGAAAGGTGCCTGCTCTGCTGTAGTCTTTGCTAAATTAAATTAGGGTTGTTCTTTCTCTTGGAGACCTTAATGTCTGTGAGTGTGGATTAAAGTGAGGCTGTGGTAATCCCATCCTGGAGGAACGTCTTCGCTGCCTGTGCTTTATTCTGCTGAATCATGTCGTGACGCCTGAGTAAGTTCAGGACTTACTTGGCTCACCTTCGCTGTTTGTCTGTGCGTTCGTCCTGCCCTGCACCGACAGACCTCTCCTCTCCCGCCGACTCACCCTTTCAATTGTTTTAAGCATCTGGTGAAAACCAGTGTGACTCCTTCCATTCAGGGTTGTATGAATAGTAACTACACAAATATGAAAAACAATGAGTAATAATTTCCTTTCTGTTCACATTTGACTGTTGGTTAGTGTGTACGTATGTGTGTGCTTGGTGTTCTTGTGTTTTTATTTCTTTACAGAGCATTGTGAAGAATAATTATTTATTTATTTTTTGTTTTTTTAAAAAAAACTTAATGTAAATATTGTTGGTGAAAATTAACATTTATTGTACTCCGAGTTTTCGTTTGTCACTCAAGTCGATGAAGAAAACAACGATACACATGAATAACAATGGTGATGTTGATGATGATGTTGATGATGATGATGATGATGATGATGATGATGAAGCTGATTTTACCTGCCCTTCTTGAATAAGGGCTTTTGATGTCTGCTGTATTTTTGTTGGGGGCGTCGTGAGGTCAAGGCAAGACAAGCGACAGGGAAGGAGTGGTACCCGACACATCCCAGGTTCTTTGTAGCAACACTGCCACAAGTCCCCGAATACACACAGGTAACTCAAAGCGACACAAATTGTAGCCATGAAGCATCATAGCGTTCTTACAGCATGCTTTGCGGTGTGTGAGAACAACACACTCCTCCTTGTTGAGTCACTCTGACCCAGTCGCTTGGCATCACATCCCACCAGTCAGCTTACAGGCTCTGGGATTTACTGAAATGCCATTGTGTTAGATGGGATTGACCCTGTCCTGACACCCATGATGCCTTGCTCATTGAATTTGGAGTCATTATTTGGAGCCATACATAAGGATGGGTACGGCTTCCATCATCCTACAGCAACAAGGGTAATTTGCATGCATGTTTTAGTTCCCAAGTGAGCTTATGTGAACTTTGCCAAATAACTGGCTTGTCGGTTGCTTTGTGAACTATTTGCAAGAGCTCTCAAGCGCCAGCAAGGACAGTCCAGGATTAGAGAGACAGCCGAACCATAAACTGCCATATTGTGATGTAAAAAAACCTCAAATAATACTTGCACCATCTCTCCTCTTTAAAACAGATTTTAGCTGTGCCATATCACAACATATTTCTTTGTTTTCTCCAGGACTCGTCTGCAACATCATGTTAGACTTCAAATCATGTATTATTTGTAGTTTCAGAGAATGCTGAAGGAGCTTTTTTTGTGCTGATTGATCAATAAGTAGTGAGGAGATAAGGTGATGTCACAATCTGTGAGACAGAGAGCAGTTGGTGTTGCATATATCTGCAATTTACCAGGATTTTGGAAATGTGTCAAAACATTTGAAAATATCTTTGCACTTTGAACTTAGCACACTTAGTAAGATTAGCTCACATAGCTTTGCAAACTATGATCGGTTATCATGTGTGCTCCCTGAAGACTGAGCAAAAACTGTGCAGAAGACCAATCCAGCTTGTTCCTCGACAGACAGCGTTGAATTAAAACAGCTATTTTGCTGCAATGCATTCAGCTTTGCTTTTAAAATGCTGGTGCCTCTTGTGACTTCATTTTCAATGCCTCATCTGTGCTGAAAACAGCTAACTTTGCTCAGTAACAACTTCCAAACCAAAGAGAGTTTTTGTCAGTGCGACATGTTGGGCACTTGTGTTTTCTGAGCCTGAAAAAAATTAGATTTTTAAGTTAATCAGTCACTGTTAAGAGCTGGGTAAGTGTAAATTTGAATTCTGGTCGGTAGATGATTTCTCGGTGCATCGCTGCAATTTGTCCTCGTTGAAATAAATGAGGAATTAAAATGCACTTTTATTTATGTTCAAAGCATGCTATAACTTTGTAAAACATTGGTAAAAACAGGATTGTGGTCAACTACCATAAATCCTACTTCATCCACACAGTGCAGCGGCGGAGCTTATCAGTTTCAGGTTTCTTTGAGGAGCGTCTCTGACCTGACATGGTTTAGCAGATACTGCCGGCAGCTGTCTCCAGGAAAGACAGTGGATACAGTTCTACCTTCGTCTGTAATACCATCCCTCTGAGAGAGTCCCACAAGGACACTGAAGCTCCACACGCTAACCAAAAATAAAGCCCAGCTACTTTCTCCTCCAAACTCGATCTGTTGCTGATTGCGAATGAGATGCAGGCCGAGCGGTGTCGAAATCCTGCCATTTATACAGAGATTTTTAAATCAGGGAGGTAATAAGCAATACTCTTAACTGACCTACTGAATCTAAACTGAGAGGGGTTTTATTTTTGCATTGAGGGATGTCCAGGGTAACACTCCTGCTTTTTGGTTGGGTTTTTAACTCCTTTCTCCACTTGCCTTGGCCCGCCTCTTCAACAAAGAGTGCTCTAACTTTAAACACACAATTGTGATGTGTACAATCTGATTCCATGTATTTATTTATGTTTTTTTTTTTTTGCCAACTTTGTATAGTGTACAAATATCTATAAATATACAAACCATGACAGTACTGTATAGATTTTAGCTGCCTGGTAAGGTTAATAGTATATACTTGGTAGACTAAAAGAAAAAGCGTAGAGCTGTTCAAAAGCCAGTTACTGAGAAAAAAAATGCTTTCTGTAAGACCCGATGCCACTGGCTCTTTTTTATATTCTAAGTTTCTGCTTTCTTTTTTTATTGTAGCCAGTGGGATCTTTTTTGTCCATTTGTTTTGCTTTTGTTTTTTTTGTTTTTTTGACAAGACACAGCAAGGTTCTGGCAGCCAGGAGAGTGCAGTGGAACGCAGACTGGAGCCCTGTGCAGTTGTACGTGTTTTTAGGTGTGCGTCCGTCCATCGTAGTGCTTAGTGCTCTTTGTGCAGTGCCTCCCTCCTCCCTCTTTTTCTCTTACGCAGATTGCTCGCTAAGATGCAGGATGATTGTGTTTGCCGAGGCTAGCTGATGCCCTCCTCCTTTTTCTTTTTTCTCCTCACATCCGCTCTGTTTCTTCATTACGCCGCTTAGTTTTAATCCTCCACTAAGTATAGATTTTCACTTCCTCTGCTCGATTGTTCATTTACTATCCCATTCAGATGATAATGCGCACACCACCAGAGTCTAATTTCCTGGTAATCCATTCCATCCCCCATCATCTATCCTGGATTCTTTGTCCATTAGGATCTCCCATTTGTCACCTTCCAGGTTATTTTTTCTATAGAGCTCTGTGGACCAGAGAATAAACAAAAAAAAAGGAGATCCATGATCCTCATCCCAAGTCATAACTACAAACTCAAAGGAGAAGGAACAGTATCAGCTCAGCACGCAGCAACACAAAGCAGCCATATTAAAGTCAAGCACAGATGTGAGCGTTTATGTTGTGGCAGCTTCACTGCTGCCTGTTTGTAGCAAGAGCGAGAGGAAAAAAAAAACGCCTTAAAGATCGGACCAACCACACATATTAAAGATACTGGGATGTGTATATTTGTGGAAACCCTCCCTTTTCCTGCACCACTTTTATTACTTGGTATTCCAGTGAGCTGCTTGGTTGCTCTGTACATATCTGTGTAGTACTTCTGTTGATGTCCCAGTACTGGTATAGTAAAGGGTTCTTACTGGGTGGCCTCGGCTGACGCCCTCCCTCTCCTGTTCTCGTCTCATTCTCCTTAAACGAAAACTTCAAACATTCCATTTGAACCGAATAGCTACTAAAGATGATTGGATCTCACTGGGAGCTAAAGAGAAAGGACCGAACTGCAGACGTCTCTCACCGGAGCCATGTCAATAACCGAGACGCCTTGGTCACGTCCCTCTGAGGGCCGCAGAACCTCCACACATCTGCACGCGACTCTCTGCTCCTTCCAACCCACCTCCTCTCTGGTCGGCCCTGGTTTGCAGCAGAAGGGTCAGACAGCGGGACGGGGTTGGGAGAGCCCTGGGAGGCAGCAGAGAGCCACGTCTCTGCGGTCGCGCCCAGCAAAGGGAGGGAGGGCGTCAAAGGGCAGAGCTCAGTAGCACTTTGGTTTTGCGTTCCATGTTTATTTTTTTCAGCCTCTCCTGTTCTTTGGGCCGAGCGGACTGTGATCTTACTGGGTTGTGTTTTTTTTTTGGTTTTTCTGTTCTTGCTCTCCTCCACTCATCAGTGTTACACAGTGTGCTGAGTGGACGGAGCCTTGGAGCTGAGCTCTGATGTTGTTCCATATTAAAGAATCATTTTTGCTACACTTGTGTTCAGAGCCTCATTGGTCTGTCTCGTCATCCTTTACTCGGTATACTGTAACCAGAACCACACTGCATGGCGAGAACATTATACCTGCTTAACATCTTGTTCTGTAATCAGTAATTATCCTGATTCTGCACCAGAAAGCAGCTGATTATCTGATCGTTTAATCTGCAAAGTTTTGATTGTTCATTAAGCATTTAATCATCTTAATTTCAAGCATTTTCGTCAGGCTGATGCATCCCAACAACTACAAAATGTCCTTAATGTTTGTATAAATATTAAAGGCCAATAGAGGATCTACTATTAGAGAGTTGAAGTCAATTAAAGTAAACCTGCTGTTGTACATATTTTATTGCTTCAATGCCGACAGCAACTTGGAAATGTTTTGCTCCATCACAACCACAAACCTCTGTGTATGAAATTGGCATTTTATTAAGAGAAAGTAGTTCTTAACTATGAAGTGTATCCAAACTCAAACATAATTTTTCAAAATCTCATGATAATTATTTGTGCATTTCTATTCAGCTCCCTCATTCAATGCTTTCTAGAAACCACATTGCTACTATTACAGCTGCAAGGTTATCACAACTCAAAAACTTGATGTTTATAAGAAAAATTCTTGAAACATTTTTCAGCATGCCTGAAAAATGTTTCAATCTTTTTGAAGGCAGCAGATTCTTGCTGATGAAAATAAGAGAACTTTTATTTCGCATGATTGTGTTTTCATTTTCTTTCCTTTCTTTAATGGACTCCTGTTTTAAAAATCACCATAATCTCTTTTGAGCTGAAAACTAAGATTGTGAATAAAAAAAGAATACCTTCATTAGTGAGATACGTCAGCAAAGTGCTATTTGATTCAATACATTCCAAAGGAAACCCTCCACCTTGAACCCCTCCAATCAAAAATATTTTCATCATGGTATTAAAAGTGTAACACATATCTATATACAGCGCCTTGCAAAAATATGGATCCCTTTAGAAGATTTACAGAGATTTTTGTCATAGCAACAAAGTTTATTTTATTTTATTCGGATTCACGATTATGTACATATTTGTATTGGTCTGCAATATCCAATCAATAAAACTTATTCAGTTTTATTGTCACAAAATGAAGAAAAAGTTTAAGATTCATAAATACATTTGCATGTCTCTGCATTCTTGCAAATAAATTTGTTACTGATGGGTCAGAAAGTGATGTTTGGAGGAAAATCAGTTTGATTTAATGGGGACTGCTGTGAAAAGTTTTAACATCATTTGCTGAAGGAAATGGGATTTTGCAAAGGTTGTTTTAGCCTTCAAGACCAATTAAAAATGTGTAGTGGACAGCTTTGGCTCTGAGCAACATATTAGTCAGCATGAAAGAAAATGAATCACACAGTTTCATGCTTTAATCTGGAGGAAACTTTCCTCTGTTTCTTAGAGGTGATGAGAAACTGTTTTTGTAATTGTGGGTGAATTATTTTGCAGGTTTAATTTGTTTTTCTTCTGGAGCATCTTAGTCATCCGTGCACCTCTCAGATAACTGAGATGTGTGTCAAAATGTTTCCCTTGTAGATGTTAGAAATGCTGTTGTTTTCACTCGAAACGTCTTATTTCATGCCTTAATTTTCCACACCACTTTTCGGTCACCCTCCACATATTCACCAAAGCTGAGTGAAACATAGAATGGAAGAAGATGACAGTGCAATTTGCTCCAAACCATGCATGGAAGATTTGTCCAATAAGTACAGAAGTTAGAAAGGAGGCTACAAGGAGATAAGCCTTGCAGAAGTGAAGCAGTGAAGCAGAGGGAGCACCTCCGAGACCCTGGCATCACAAAGACAGGTCTGAGCGCCTGAGCTGGCTCTTTATGTCCTTAAACATTAATTCCATGCTTTTTTATGGCAGACAAAGGGAGCTGGTTATTGAACTGACAGGGAAACCTTGGAGAGCCGCCTCCCAAAGCAGCAGACTATCAGCAGCAGCAGGAGAAACAGGTGAGCCCCTGCAGACAGGGTCTGAACCTCAACAGACGGCTCCGGGCGAGCCGAGTGCATCATCACGACAGGAGACCCTTGCTTGCATCACCTCAGTCTATTTTTAGAACAACTGCATGATCCCCCCCTTTTTTGTCTTTGCACCTTTTCCTCAAGTGCAAGTTGTTTATCTTGAATGTTTTGATCAAAAGCTTGCATGCAGCTGAGTGTTTTGCTGAAGTAGTCACTTTACATGTGAATTATGCAGATGAAGAACAAACACCGGCTGCTGCTTTCGCAGGATGAACAATCAAAGGAAAGCCGAGAGTCTCTGGATCCTCATTCAAATCCAGGACAGCAGGTGTTTTATCTGTTCCCCCACTCTGACTGTCAGATTGAAGTTGCTCAAACAAGTCAAATCATCTGGTGTAATCTTGAACTGGAATGAAAATAGGCATCCGGTCTAACCCTGCTGTGTGGATCCCCCATTGAATTTATAATCATAGATGCCAATAATGTGCACATTGTATTTAGAAGAAAAGAAGCAGGAAATGAGATGTCAGTTTCAATGATGCCAGCATTTCCCCGTAGTTATTTTTTGAAGGAGATAATAAACAGTTCCAAGTTTGGCATGACAGGATGTCAAGCAAGAAAGCCTGCGAAACAGAAAATGCAAGCAACAGCTTGGTAAAGACGGGCTCTATCCATGCACTGCTGGCGTTCAGCAGATGGAGGGAAGGAAAAGAAAGCGAGAAGTTATGCAGCAGAGAGGTGGGAAAAAAAGCCGTGCGAGTCCAAAGAAATTAGACGGCATGAAAAGAAATGGGAGGTGAGAATTAAAGGAAAAGTGTAGAAATAGTGTGATGCTGCAGTTTTGAGCCCAGTTTGATGAATGATGTCTGAAATAACATTGTATTTGAAGAGACACATAAGCAAATAGGATTTGCATATGATTTTCTAATTAAAAGTCATCTTTCTATGTTGCTTTTTCTGAAGTCCAAGAGTCAGTTTTAAATTAAAAAGCTGACATGAATGTATGTTTTCTAAAAGTGTGTATGATTTTTAGACATTTTCTGCTGCTATAAACAGTGAATTATCACATCCTGTCCTGGATGGACTTTTTTTTTTTATCAAGATGTCATGCAAATTTCAAACCATCCATCATTTTTATATAACCTTAGACTGAAGTCAGAGCCATGGTGGCATCACAATGCCATCCAGTGGACACATGGAGAATCAGTCCAGACCGGTTCTGTACAAAAGCTGTTTTGGTTCCTGCTGCTCTTTGCCTGGCTTGTTTTAGTTCATCCTTTCTGCAACCAACAGTATTCAAAGAAATGAATGAAGCTGAACAGAAGGTTATGGAGTTCTGCAAAAATGTGTTAACCTCAATTTAAACCAGATCTTTTAAAGAATATTCTTCTACGCTTGCAGAGCAGATATAGGCTATGCATTGATTTTCCACAGACATCAGGTTTTAAGTAGGCTTGGCATAAGACAAAAAAAAAAAAACTTAAGAGTAACTTTTCAGCAGGTTGCTTGTTTTAAGTAAATAATTATTTAGTACTGATATTTTTTTTAAATTTCTGGTTCCACTTTCAGAGTATTTCAGTTGGACTTTTTCATCCTCTTGTGAAAAAGATTTTGAACTCAGTGGATTTTTAACGAATTAAATAAAGGTTTAATAAAATAAAAATCAATGTTAAGAAATTAACTTGAAACAATTATTTGTAAGTCAGTTTTATCATATTTTACATATACAAAGAAATTTGCACTAGAAGCTAAACTAAAAATGTGTAAGATTTTGTGTTTTTGCAGTGTATTGAGAAAGTGATGTGTGTGTTAATGGTTTCAAACAAAATAAAACACATGAGATTTAACCACATGAATGAGTTCCTCAGCATTGTTTTTTTTTTTATTGAAAGTATGAGTGGCTTTCTGTGCTAAAGAGATAACTACAATGACAAAGTGAAAGTGCTGAAGAATGACATAAATGTCATTCATCTATCGCTTTGATTGGCCTTCAAAAGTAAATTGAATAAAAAGAATAAAGAAGATCCAACTGCTGTGATATTCATTCACATAAAAAACCAGACCTGGAAAAGGAAAGTACAATGTCAGAGACATTTTGTCTGTTCGCTTCTTTTTAAAAGGCACCCGCATAATTTCACCTTTGATATTTACACATTTCAATAATTACATGTGCCTTTTCTTCTTTCTTCACTCTCTAATGGCGCCTATTTTCCTATCTGAAACCTTCCAAGAAGCCTTTGATGGTTCTGTGTAACATCGAGCTGTCTGCAGTGTTTTGTGTTATTACAGTACAAATTGCAGAAAAGGAGCTGAACTGAACAAATTGCAGGAAGGAAGAAAGAGACTCTTAACAATGGATAAGAGTCCTTGTGGAATAGCATTACGCTCACACCTGAAATAATTTCTTTGCACTTCAGTTGTAATGTTCTGCCCTTGTGTCGAATCTCCTAGCAACAGCAATTTGTTTACCTACAAACTGGCTCAGGATAGAGAGACGAAGAAATAACTTAGTGTTTAAACACAGGTGTGTCCTGGGTCGAGCTTTTTTCACACTCACTTTTAACTCATTATATTCAGAGGAAATAAGGTGAGATTGCTACCCTTTTGCTGACTTCAGCTGTCTTTTTAAAAAGGAGATTTCTGTTCTTTATTACAAACTGCTTTTTTTCCCCAGTTGATTGTGCAGTCTGAAAAATGCACTCCTTGCTACATTTATTTCAGATAGCTGCAGTGTCAACATGCCTGAAGGATTTTTTCCAACCATCTCTGTTCATGCCGAAGGTTTCATTTACAGCACACTGCAAAAACACAAAACCTTACCAAATACTTCTTGTGGAACTTCTAGTGCAAATATCTTAGTACACTTAAAGTACGACAAAACTAACTTTAAAGTCAGATACAGGAGCTTGTTTTATTTCAGTAATTCTTAAATATTGATAAAAAGTACGAGTTACACTTATTTCGCTCATAAAAATGTCTTGTTAAAGTGAAAAAAAAAATCTAGTACATTTTTTACTTAAAACAAACTCATATCTTTCTGAAAAGTTACTCTTAAGTTATTTTTGTAGTATTTCATGTGTACTAAGATATTTGCACTAGAAACTAGATAAAAAATACTTGGTAAGATCATATGTTTTTGCAGTGCATAAACAGATGTTTGGAAAGCCGAGGATTGTCATACCACCTCTTGAAGAAACTGAAAAATGGGGGTTACTGAACAAAGCCAGTCTCTCATCCTCTAAAGGTCAGCTGACGATGAAAAAGTCAGAGTGAAAAACTCAAATCGATCTGTTTTAGATTTGTTTTTGGATTATGACAGACACGTTGTTGGTTGCAGTTTCAGGCAGGATGGGTTTCGATTCCTGCATCGGAGCCCCTGTTGCATCCGGCTTTATATCGAACCAAAGACCCGTCCTATCTTATAAGCCCAGTTTGGACCTTGTTGACAACCCTCAGTTTGGGTAAGTGTCAGGGCAGGTAACGACTGTCCGCCACAGCGTCAGCTTTCACTGTCCAGTGTCATCACTGTCCACCGGGAAACACTCAGGCAGAGATGTGAGTCAGGCTTTGGTGAAAGCAAGCTATTTCTCACTCTTGCTCTTACCAAGTGACCAAGTTCTGCTGACTTTTCTTTGAAAAACTTATCCAAAATAGAAAACCAATACCAATTCAAATCAATTTTTATTTAAAAATATATTTATTTGTTTCACTGTGTATTTATTCATTTCATGGCCTGTTTGCACCCTGTGAGGTGTATGATTATGTTTGGTAAAGTCAAATACCAATTTTGATTTATGTCTATGGACATTATTAAAGCACTGTGCTTTGAATCTCATATAGTTTCATCGCTAGTGTTTTAGCTCTTCTCAGACTTACAGAAACTAACATTTTCTACCTTTTGCTTGTGAAACAATTTACTGAAGTGCTGGGCCATGACACCATGGTAAGCTTGATCATTAGAAAAAATCCAGTGAATTTGTTGTTTCGTTCTAAGTTTCCCAAAATACTTTTTTAAACAACCATTACTTCTGATGTGTTTCTTGAGACGCGGTTGTATTTTTTTTTTTTTTCTGTCTCCAGAGTGTCATTAGCCGACAATTTCGTAACTCAAAATATGATGTACTACCAGCGACCCACTTTCTCTGATGGCTCCAAGCCTTTGCCAGGCCTCCTTGACATACCCATGACTAGTGGCTTCCATCAAGTGAGCGCTGTTTTCCACACAGAGCCAGTTCTGGATAAGGTACTAGAGGTTTTCCTTTACATTATCCATACAATTCAAGAGCATGAGCATGAGCTGTCTATCTTCTGCCTTTCTTCAGACAGAGTACCAAAGAGTGTATGTGCCCCGTCGCTTACCACCAGGTAAACACTTAGGTTTTGGCTGCAGACAGATGACAAGATGGGACATGACAGAGACACTAACAGATGTCCTTGCTACAGTTTCTCGCCACATGAATATGGGTCCAAAATTGGAGACTGGATGCACTGAAGGAGAAGATTTACAGTTCATCACTTTTCGGGACAAAAAATTTGCCACCGTGAGTATTATTTAATAGTAAGCAATCATATTAACATGTAAAATACTTAATTGGGATTTCATGTGTTAAAAATCATCATAGCTTTGATGATGATTTAAAAATCTATTCTTTGAGGTAGAAAATTATCCATAGCTTTGAGGTATAAGAGAAGGGATCTTGCATGATGCATGCGTCTACAAATAAAAAAGTGAAATGTATGACACTCATTACAAGCCTCTGGATCAATACTTTGTGGAATCACCTTTTGCTGCAGATACATTCTGTAATAGGCTCTAACAAGCCTCTGAGGCAGAGAACAGAGAATAAATTACATCCAGGTGGACTATATCAACGGAGTTAATTTGATATTTTAAAATGAAGGTGGCTGAATTCATATACATGCCTCACTTTTCAAATTTCTATTTGCAAAGCATTGTATAGCAAATAATATTGAACTTTTATTTCTATTTCACAGTTTAAAAATTATAAATATAATACTATACATACACACACACACACACACACACATATATATATATATATATATATATATATATATATATATATGTATATATATATATATATATATAATATATATCCTACTCTTTGTAGCATATATATGTGCTATACATGCTATATGCATATAGTAGCTATTTGCATATAGTAGCATATATGCTACTATATGCTAATTTGAGAAAAAAATTGAAAAAAAAAGTATATTATAGTATTGAATAAAAAAATCCTTCATTGTCCCAAATGGTAAAATTTCTTAATTTATATTCAATGTTCACAAGCAGATGCTTTCATATTTTTTCCTCACCTGAAGTCTAATGTTACCTTCTGTCACTCCTCTCTGTTCTCCTTCTGGTGCTTTCAAAGCTTAGAGAGTAGACTGACGTAAAAGTAATTTATACATGTCTGAGCTATAATATTTTCCACGAGCTGCAATATTTTGGCGGAAAACAGCTCAAGGAAAAAGTTTCATATGTGGCAAACTACAAGCAACATCACAGAAAAAATGCAGTTTGAAAATGGTATTCAGTCATTCCTCAAGATGACTACATTATTTGGTGGTATATGTGTCCTCCTTTAACTCTGAATGTGACTTTGTCTATTTGTGAAGTGTTTCCCTTTCAAAATGTGGCCAATTTGTCCAGGTGGATCCGCGTCTGACCCGCAGCACAGTGATGATGAGCGACTATCTGTCTCCAACTTTTCCGCAGGTTGAGCCACATTCACTGCAACTCTCTTTATACTGAACAAAAAAACACAAATATGTTTTGATATGAAACATTAACATCTTTTTCAGGGAAATGAACGCTTGCCACGTATATGCGGCTGTTCCTGCAGAGAATCAGGGTATACGCATGGTGCCCAGCCCGTCTTAGTCGACCCAGTAAGTCCATATACTCTCCCTATACTCTGCTATTGTACAGCAGTTTATTTGCACAATATACTGCAGTTATTGTACAAATTTTTGACATGTACTGTTTTATAATATTCTAGCGCCTTCATCTGCCACCAGTGAAACTGAAAAGTTATATACCACTTGTGAAGGCTACTGGAAACAAGGTCAGACTTTTACTTTCTCTTTTTTTGCCAATGAATAAATCATCTCTTTTTGATTACACTTTTTATCTTTACTTTTATTCCTTTCTCCTTTAGGAGCCCTCAGGATTTTGCTTAAATATGCCAAATGAAATTTTCTCAAAGGAACCATTTGATCTGTCACACTTCACTACACATTATAATGACAAGTAAGTGTTTTATTTTTTTATACTTTTGATTGTAGTTTATAATTTTTTTAGACGCTAAAAAGAATTAGTCAGACATGCTGGCTTTGAAATCTTTTGTTGATAAATTTGAATTAGCAAAAAAATCATTTGTTCATCATTATTCATCATTCATATAATTTATTCTTCTACTGTTTAGAGTGATTTGAAAAAGTACAGATTTCTCATGTTTGATCTTTCTCTTGTACAAAGTGAGCTATGGAAATTTAGATTAGATTTTTATTTTTGTAGAATTTTAAAAAGGAAGTTTTTCTTGTTTCTTGTTCATTTGTGGTTTCTCGCTGCCCTCATTTATTTGCGTTGTGCATAAGAGAGAATTTTAACATGACAACAATTATATTACAGCTTCCGTTATGGCCATCAGAAGGACAGGGACACTTTTCATACTTCATCAATTGTCAACGCAAGCCAAACAAAGGACAATGGCTACAACAAACGAAACACAGACAGGTAAGGTTTCTTCACATCTTTCCTTGGATAATATAACATTGTGCTCATTTTTATGATTCATGTGTCCTGTTTTATTTTTTTTATTCCACAGGTTCATATTGAAGCATTAGATGTTTTCACTATTTTAAACTATTCTGCATTTCTTCTCATCTGTAAAATAAAATTCATTATTCAAGCAAATCATTTGGTCTTTTTGATTGTAGCAGAATACAAACTCCAGATATACAAAGAGAAGATGCAAAACTGCATTTTGTTTTTAAATGCATCTTGTTGTCACTGACCCACAGAGAATGAGAAGACTGTAAACTAAAGTGAAAAATGATTCCACTCAGACTCTGATTTGCATGAACCTCTGAAAACTGTCAAGCTGTTGTGCCACCCACGACTGCATGCAAAAAAAAAACGACCAACAAATCTGGACTAAATACAGTCTCCAAGTATGACAAACTGTGTATAATACAACTTTATACCACCGTACTACTGCATTTTCTGTGCTGACATCAGAATATTTGACTTCTTCACATTTTGCAATTCTACAATAACATAGTGCAATTTTTTTTCAGGATTTGTATGCGATAAATGTGAGAAATTTCACTACATAATTCTAATTTTAAAAGTAATTTCACTATTTTTTTTTCAACAAAGCTGACATTTAAAGCTGAAGGGGAGATCAGAGAAGTTAAACACAGGGAAAAATTGGAAGAAAGTTGCAAACACTTCCTGACTAGGGTGGAGGTTCATCTAGGAGGAAAACAACCCTAAATATGAAACCATAGCTATAATAAGTTTAGACAAAAGCATTTAAACATGTAGCTTATTTTGTGCCAACATCTAGATTAAATGAGTGGAAAACATTACTCTCCAATAGTGTGATTTTAAACCAATTTTTAGAGACAAACTGGCAAAAAATCCCAATCTCTAGACAAACAAAGCTGACAGAGACTAACACCCAAAGACTGTTGCCTTGCAGTAATAATGTCCAGGGGTCTTCCTGCATCATGTGCGCTTCTTCTTCCTATGCATGTGTGGTATTTTGGCTTCTTTTTGTTGAGAATGCACAACTGTAAGTTTAATTGGTTTAATTGGTGGAGACACACAGAGACATCCTGTGCGTCTCTGTGTTGTAAATGCTCCTACAAACCTGCAGGGACAAGTAGGCATGGACAACGGATGGAAAGATGGTTTTACAAATTATTGACCAATACAAATGCACACCACACTTCTGTTCACTTCACAGTTATCCACTGCTTGGTGCATTCAGTCCATCAGTTGATCTGAGGGACCAAAATATGAAGTAAAATACATTGATTTTTTTGTCGTTGTACAACAACATGTGCAAGAAATTAAAGTTGAAGAATGCTTCAGCAGTCCCACCTGTCTGAGAGGAGAATCGATCCTGTCATGACACTGAAAAAGCTTTAACCAGTCAGACAGGAGGCCACAAACATCTGAAGAAATTGTAGCAGGATGTTAGCATCAGATCCTTTGGGTCCTGTGGGTTGAGGTTGGGTTACTTCCCACAGATGCCATCAGATTCCTATTAGGGGAATTCTGGAGACCATTAATAGTATTTTGGAGTTCTTTTCTCACATTCCTGCATCTTATCTATTAATACCACCAATGTTATTAGACACAGCGATAGAAACTATTGGTGCATGAAAATTTAAAAGGAGCAGTGTGTATGTTCTGCATTGTCCCAATGCAAATGAAATGAGATACTGTCACATGAGTACACGCATTAATATTCTAACACCAGATCAATATTTCACTCTTTTAATGAGATACGAGGAAAAAGATCTGTGCAGACACAAAGGACTGGATTACGCATGAGCCCTACATGAATAATGTGTTCAGAGATGAGAGGAGAACAAGGGCCTGGCCTGTATAATGTCAAGAAAAAGAGTAATGTCATCGTCTGTGACAAAAAGAAGTGCCACAGCATTCATGACACAGCTGAATTTCTGCTCAGCAGGGTTCTTCAGGTTTGTTGGGGCATTCTGCTTTATCATTTTCCCTGTCCGCTTCATGTTTGAAGCTTCTTTAAGGACTTACCTTTTATGGTCAGGCAGCCCAGCTATTCATCCCTCTAACGCTCTTTCTTGGCACTGACACTCATGTCGTAAATATTTTTTTAAAATCTTTGACCAACACACTCATTTAAATGCAGAGACAGTCGTGCTTTAAAGAAGTAGTGCTGACAAGCACATAACACAGGTACTGACTGTGATGAGCAGAAACGACTCTTGAGTAAACACACTACGTCTTCTGTGACAAAGGACTGGCAGCGGCTTCATTCAGCTGAATATTTAATAGCAAAGAATCAAAATAACCTGATACAGCAACCTGATAATGTGCAGTTGAGAGAGATGACACTGGTATTGCTGCTTTAAAGAAATATAATGTTAAGACAATTGATTTTCACAGTTAATAACAGATCATTAATTAGCAGCACGTCTGAGAATAAGTCGTATTCACATATCTACTGTACTGTCCAACATCTGTTTCCACCTGAAACCAAATTGTCTCGGTGTTAGAGGGGCTTTTTATGCTCCCTCATCTTGTCTTCTTGTGTCTTCCAGCTCCCCCCCATCCTCATACTCATAGTCCATTGGAACGTTCTCATACTCCAACCCTTCTCCTTCATACTCAAACCCTTCTCCCTCACATATCATCTCTTCTGTCTCATATTCAACCAATTCTTCATCATATTCAAGCTCAGCACCATCATACTCTGTCACTGGCACTTCTACACAGTCCTCCTGCTCCTCGTCCTTAACCAATGTTTCTTCTTCTCTAACTTCGGAGTCTTCGATGTTCTCAGCAGCTTGGTCTGTTGCCGGTTTTGAGTTGCTGTTCTTTAGGATCCCATGGATCACTGGTTCCTCTTCAGCCTGAGCCAGCTCCTCAGCTTCTTTCTCTGCTGCTTTGCGAAGTCTCTCCTTCCTGGCCTCACGGATCTCCATGAACTCAGCAGCCCCTTCCCCAACCAGAAATACATCCTCACCTACTTTAGGAGGTTCATTGACGGGATTGTGGTCATAAGAAAATAGGTGAAGGGTCCGGAGACGCTTCAGACTGGGAAGCTCTGTTATTTTGTTTTTATCCAAGTCTAGGATCTCCAGGGACTCCATGCGCAGCAGGACTTTGGGGAAGGTTTCAAAGCGGTTTCCATACAGCCACAATCCCTTTAGTGACTCCATGCGGCAGAAGTCTTGAGGCAGCGCTTTCAGCCGGTTGTCCCCCATTTGAAGGGACTTGAGGTTTGGCAGGTCGTAGAGCTCCCGTGGAAATCTCTGGAAGTAGTTGCTCTCCAGCCAGAAGCACCTTAAATTCTTCAGGTTGGTGAACTCAGGCGGAAGGGTCATGAGTCGGTTGCTGCCGAGGTAGAGGTGGGTGAGGCTGGTGAGCTCGCACACGGCCAGGGGAACGTCTTCCAACTTGTTGAAGTCAAGGGCGAGCGTCCGCAGACCCTGCAGCTGGGAGATGCTGTCAGGCACCTTGCGAAGTCTGTTCCCGCAAACATACAGCTTTTCCAGGTGCATCAGCTCACAAACACGCAAGGGTAATCGCTTGAATTTGCGGTAGCTCAGGTCTAACACAGGATCACCGCTCTCCAACAGCTCCTCCACTCCCAGCGGAAGCTCTTCTTCTTCCTCCTCCACTACTTCCTTCTCCTTTTCCGTGTCCTCTTCCTCCTCACCATCTTTTGCCCCCTCTTGTTCTTCTTCTCCCCCCTCGTCCTTCCTGGAAGAGTTGCCCATGCTGTGCCAAGCAGACCCAGAGTCTGACGTGAGTCAGGGCAGAGTCATTTGATAAGGCAGTGTCTGTGACAAGTGAACTCTCAGTTTGGAAGCTACTGTTGTTTCGTATATGAAACCACAGGCTGCAACCAGCATCATGGTTCAGGCCAGTTAACACTTCTGCAGCCATGCCATGCAACAGCAGTGCCTAAATGCCCCTGTCTCCACTGGTTTATTAGAAAATTATCACATGGTGTCATCTGGCAAACAGAATGAAAAAAAATAATTAAAGGATGAGGTAGAGTTGATAGAGAAAATTTAACTTTATCTTTAGTTTTTTTTTTTGTTTTTTTTTTGTCTTACCGTTGTCTCTTTAACATCCTGGGGACTTTGAAGAGAAAAGTGTCCGGCAGCTTTGAGGTCATGTGATCAAGAAAAGAAAGATTTCCCAACCCCCCTGAAGTCGTTCTTCTGCGCCTCTTAACTCGCCTGCAGATGTCTGTGGATAAACCCAGAGTCGGTGCGCCGCTCAGTGACCTGGCCGGCGGGAAAGAAAATAAGTCACATGAAGGTCCGTGGAAGAGTTAATGCAGCTGCTCCCTATTACAGGCCGGGTCTCACCGCGGGAACTATAATCCGCGCTGGGATAGAAATTGCATGTTGTAAAATTACAGCGCACTTACTGAGTGACTGACGGACCGTTCCTGATGTTGGCTGCTTCTCTCCATTAGTGTGAAGGCTTGCATTCAGCTGAAGCCTCCCTCTCTCTGTAACCCGAACAGGGGGGCATTCACATCACATGGTCAGTCTGTGCGCGTGTAAGAGGAGCGTGAGTAACACTAAGACTCAACTTTTAAAAAAACTTTTTGTAGCTTTTTCAAAAAGTTATTATTATTATTATTATTATTATTATTATTATTATTATTATTATTATTATTATTGGCTGTATTTATCTGGTTGCATTTTTTTTAGTTGAAAATGAGATTATATTTTTATCCACATCTTTATTTGAGAGGTCCCTCCACAGATTTAAATTGGGACTCTTGCTGGGCCACTCAAACATTTTTGCTTGACTTTCTGTATGTTGGTAAAATTACTTTTTAAGTAAAAATATGCAGTGTTTTTTCCCCCACAACTTCTCCATTTGTTGTTATTCAAAGGGTGCTTTTGCAGAAGCTTTGAGAACTGCTGATAATTTAATCTGAAATATCAGTCGTAGCTGAATTTCTCCCGAAAAAGGAGTGCTTCATCCACTAAAGACATCATAGCAGCAGGAGCATTTCATATTAGCAGTTAAGTAAAGCCCAAAAGTTTCCAAATGTACCAAAGTAAATTGAGACTTCTATTAAGTCAATCTTCTGCTGAATCCATCAACTGTTTGACAGTGAGCTTTCCTGGGTGACAGTATTTTTTTTTCCATTGCGATGGAATGAAAAG